GTGACACGGACACACATTCATCACGAACATGCTCGTAAATTTACAACAACAAACAAACAAACAACAACAAAAAAAAAGATCGAGGTATAAAACAACAACACGGACATAAATTTAAATCAATTTCCCGAAAAGGAACGGCGATAAATAATCGAATTCTTTGGATTCTATTTTGATTGAATCTGGAATTAAACAAATAAAAGGGGAGGCGAGGATCAGACATACATGTACACACATACGCACTTGGCAATACAGGGCGAAGAGAGGATAGAAAGCGTGTCAGCAGTTGTCCAATTGTTGAGCTCGAAAGATTAATTATTTTCCAGTATTTTTCCTGGACGTGAATGTGTACGGGGGGTCGACCAGAAAAGTTGGTCTCTAATTATAAAAAGAATGGCCAGAATGACGACAAAAGCCTCATTGTGCGGTATCAAAGTATAATACAATAGACTGAAAATATGAAACTAAAAAAGACCAAAATACGAATGCATACACACTATACCCTATACACAGATAAAATCACTCTCAATTGTTACATCAACAATTAATTTCAAAAAACGAAGTATTATTAATACTCTTTATGAATATTTTAAGTTTGTGACTAAAACATTCGAACTTATGAATAGAATAAATAGAATTGCGTGCAACCAATCCCATTTTCAGCGTCTGCAACTACATTTTTATGACTCTCTTATCTTGTGTTTGAAACTCACAATTTTTGTAGTCTAATAAGGATTGTTTAAACGTTCAAATAAGCTGTGTTTTTACACGACAAAAATACATGAATTAGAATTGAAAGTAAATAAAATTTGAATATTATTATTATGCTGTTATGCAAAATATCAATAGTAAAATATAAACATTAGTTTTTTTTATTTTATATATTCGATGTAAATCAAATATTCAACATGCATAATCTAAATTGTGGCATAAAATTTGTGGAAATAAAATCAATAATTTAAAATTTAAAACGGATTATATTAAAATCAGTAAACAATAATAATTATAGAATATGGTGCATGGATAAATAATGTATTCATTACATTAATTAGTTTTTTTTTATTAATGGTTGTTATTAAGCCTCATGTTTTATTAAAATATGGTACAATATGTATTTATGTTATAGATTTATGTTGTTTGAGAGTAAATGAAAAATATCAAAGAAAGATGTTATGTAATCAAATTAATTAACTGATTTCTAAGTAAATAGTAAATAAATTGATAAAATTTTATCGAATAAATAAAAAAATATATTAATATTAAAAAAAATTCTACCAGTAGATGTGGTAAGTAATAACTTGGATCCATAAAAGTGCCGGACTCAAACAAACTAATTTAATTTTCATCATATATTTTATGACCCTTCATAAATCCAGCAGGGGATAAAGTAATATGGACTGAGTATTGCAGTTAATGTTACTCCCGATGTAATTTATATCGCAGGAATTGAAATACCTTTTGCCCCCAAAAAACGAAACGCAATCAAATAAAAGATATGGACTGTAAAAACTGCATATTCCCTAATAAATCATTTCCATCGTGAAATCCTTTTTGCATTATTAAGAAAATGGAAAAAAAAAGGAAAAATTGTGAACCCGGAGAACGGGATGGAAGTGTGAGTGTGTGACGACTATTGTCCGTAACGCATGGAAAAGTCAATAGCCAAATTTCCGCTCGACTGAATCGCGTTTGGAGCTGGAAGAGAAAAATCTCCACACGGCAGGAGAAAATGAAAATCAGTATGCGACCGACAACACACCGTCCTCTTTCATAACCGAACTTTTCCCACGGATTGAAGGAGACTACCTACTACTACTGCTACCTTCCACCGCGGCGGCATCTCGTCGGCATCTCGTCGGCATTCAGGACGCGTTCAGCCCGCAACAAATAAAATTCTTCTTAAGTCTTCCCGCAAATCCCTCTGCCCGTTTTTTCTTCTCTCTTCTCTTCTCTGTTGGGTTGTTTTGTTTCTGCGTTGTTACCCAGAACCGCTCCCGAGATTCTCGAATAATTCCTAAATACAACACCTGTACGTGTAGTCAAAGGGTGTTTTCGGAGCGCGCACATCGCATAATACCGCTTTTGCTTTTGCGAAATTAATTAGAATATTCTCGAAATTTTAATTACGGGTATACGCGCGACCCCGATATTAAGTGCTTTTCTCAGGTACATTAATTTGGGGCATTCACAATGGATTGGCCGTATTTAAAGAACGTCTTTGGAATGTAACCAGTTTGTTTCTCTGTGTGCAATGAGATAATTCAGTAGAATAAGAATGATTTATGCGGCGAGTTTTTATTTGCGAGCAATAAATTTATTCGATTTGATTTTTTGTGTCAGAAAGAGTGTGCACCATCACACAAAGCAGACGAAAACCAACAATGGCTGAGAGACAACGTTCCACACTTCATTTCGACCACATGCAAATTCGCTCAACTTCTCGATATTGGTAATTTTACAATGAAATGTCAGCAATAAAATATACCAGAGTGATAATGTTTTCAATAAAACCGTTCTTCATGAATGGAGGAAGATTCCTCAGGTTCACATTCGTGCAGCGTGTGACTCGCTTGTCGACCAACTCAGAGCTATAGTTCGCGCTCAAGACGTCCATATCGAAAATTTGAAATGAATTCAAAAACTTTACTTCTTTTCCAACATTTTTTGCTTTTGGTTCAATAAAATCCAATTTCAAATAAAAAAAATACAGCTTTCTGAAAGGTGCAGTTCAATATTTACCTTGCAACTTGTTTCTGCTGATAAACAGTTAATAATTGTAAAACTCTTCATAATTTATCTTGTTTTCAAATAATTTAACATACATGAATAAAATACAAGAAATAGAATGTTTTTATATTTTTCACTTACCTACCAATTTTGCAGACATTATCGATGTCCCATGAAGTTAAAGTCCATTGAATCCACTGATTACAAAATATTTATCACTTTGTTATCTTTTCTATGTGAATTATTTTAAAATTATTGAATTTTGGGCAAAATCTTTGTATGTTGTTTTATGCAATCAACATCTTTGGTTTTCCTAATGGGATTAATCATATAATTGAAGTTGAACAATAAAAACTTTATTATAAAACATTTTTCATGTATATACTTTAGCAATTAAATGTTTTTATTTTTAAATCTAAGCGAAAAAGGTAATAAAACTGAATAATTCGCCGACGAAAATAATGAAAATGAGATTTTTTGGCAAATGTCCCAAGAGAAACAATGCTTTTAGTTTTTTTAAAGGTTTAGCAGGATTATTGCAAATTAGTTTTTGTAATTAACATAATTTATTTATTTAAATTGAAATATTATCAAAAGAAATCATTATTTTTCAAAACTGTAATGCCTCATTGATCTTAATTAAAATTTAGTTTGTTTTGAAATTTTCAAATCGTATTTCCGTTATGAAAGTTTGATTAATCATGAAAGTTAGCATTTCTTGTATCTACAAGAATAAATCAATGTACGTGACTTTTTTGAACTCTAATTATACGACTTGCATAACGACAGCAAAATTTATTAAGTTCCCTGAAGAAAATTAAAAACTAAATTCCCTGCTCCTAAACTCTCCTATCTGACATATTTTTTTTAATGGCAATTAAACTTTAATTGAATTTGGAAATCTTTCGTGTGTTTTCTTTTTTTGCGTTTGTAGAATATGCTTTACGAATTGTGAATTACACTCACGATTCGAGACGATAATCTTTGAGAAAATTGCGCGCAGGTCCTCAGTTTTACGGCAATTTGTCGAAATTATATTTTAGGGCGTAAGGACTAATTATGTGAAGTACATTATTTCACGCATTAAGTGTGATTACTATGCAAGGTTCGTCGGAAGTAAAGGTGAAAGGGCGCACACATCCAGGTAATGAAATTGTCGCAAGTGAGAGGCTTAATGTAGAAGGGCCCACATTGTGGATGGGAAAAAAGAAAACGTAAATGAAATAGTCGCTCGATTAATATTCAAAGGGCGTAAGAATATTTTCGTACGGCCACCAATATAATCACGCTTTACGACAGGCATCGCGCGATCGTTAACCGGAATATACAAGCTTGTTAATTAAGCAATTAAAACTTTGTGAATGGTCGCGTATACACGCAGTTTTACACGTGGATTTTGTTTAACTTTACTTGTTTTTTTTTCTTGCTTCTTCAGATTTTACTCGTAGCGTGGAGTGTTTGGGCTGATGTTGTTCCGTCCCTTCAGAAAACTCGCCTGTAACTTCTCTCTTTCTCTCTATATATGTATGATGTTTTTTTTTTGATGGCGCAGTCGACGGGGCACGTTTTCAGGGGAACTTTATGGATGTGCTAGAGAAACTCGTGGAGTACATAAAAATCATACTTCTTTATTCTTTTAGAAAAATGTTACTTAATGTCCTTCACACCGTTAATGTTGATTTTTGTCGTTTATTCTTTGTAATGTCATTATTTTTATACAAACATGTATATACAATGTATCTGTTTTATGGTACACGTGCACACTTACTTACACACAAATACACGCGATATTTTTCTTTTTATTACGTAACATTTAAATACGCGAGTGGATGAAACGAGATAGAAACATTTATGTACAATGGAATAAACTCAATCGAAAACGTAACAATTCCTATTGCCTATGTAACGTAAACAAATAACTTATATTTATAATTTAACACCATACATAACAAATATTATTTACAAATAATTTCGAAAATTAAAAATCAATTGGAATCTGCGGTTATTTCTGTAAAAGTAACAAAAATTCAATACTTATTACTTACATTAGATTAAGCTGTACATTCGGAAAATTCCATAGTTTTGTCAATAATCTAACATTACAGTTTTAAGGAGTATCGGTAGGATTTTTTTCGGTGAATCGTGGACCAATTATATACAATTAAATAATATTAATAGTAACAAAAAATACAATAATTCTGCCAAATAAAATAACGTCTTTGCTCTTAAAATAATAATTTTATTATTTTGTCTTGAATAATTAGAGTATTGCCGAATTTAAAAAGTTCTTAAATATGATGTAATTGATTATATAATTAAATACATTTGCTTTGTAGTATGCAAGCAGTGACATGTAATATGCAGAAATGAGACGATGATAAATTTAAACAGAATTTAATTAATCTGAAACATTATGCATGCGAGGTACGGCGTTAGTCATTGTTGGAGTATGACAATACCAGGCTGAAAGTGAAATTGAATCTGGATAGGGAATCGGATTAAGGCAGTCAGAGGAATTGCCATAGGTTTCCATAGTAATTAAGAGTCGTTGTAAAATGTAAATTGCTGAGCGATTAGCGTGCGGGTGTGTGTGTGTGTGTAAAGTATTAAAATGTAAATGGAAACAACAAGATTTCGAGGAGGCCGCCCGCGCATAACCTGAGATGGAAGCGATGTTGAGGCGATGATTAATATTAAATGGAAGCCTCGCTTGATGTATTGCTGAGTTGTCGGGGTGTGTAGCGTGCAATATTTCATAATTCATTTGATCACTGTATTAATATATCAACCGCAGCGAAACAATATTGAGCCCAAAAACCGTCCAAATATCAATTTGCTTGATTACGTACCGCCACACTGGATGGCACTGGCTGCTGTGGCAGTGGCTTCTCTACAGTCTGGAGGGGAAATGAAAATTTTAAGTAAATACCATGTATCTATAGACGGGAGACCCATAATCCCCTTTTCGCTCGGGAAATTAATAAATATCTGTCCGCCTCCGCCTTGGAGATTACAACGTTCTTTGGCTGCTTTCTTTTTTGTTAATACAGATTGACAATATATTGATTATAACCGAAGATTCAATGCCAGTTTCATCAAGTTCCTAATGCGGACACAAACTCATTCACGGTTCTATCAAAGACATTATTTTATGTGGCAAGAAAAAAAAAAGTAAGTTTTCTGAAAATTGCATTTAAAGATTTTCCTGAGCGGGAAAACTTGGACTATTGGATGTTACGTAAGTAAATTGAATAAAGGTTTTTGTGCGCATCGCCCCATGAAATGCAATTCCCGAAATAATCTTCTTTACTAAATTTATATTTATATATATACACACAAAGAAAAGAGAAATCACCACATGGTCCCTTAAAAACTAAATCACATATGTTTAATGATAAACTTATCACTATAATTATTTGCAAAAATATAGGCACTATAATTCACTAAAGTCTCGATCCTTTCAGAATAAATTACTTTCTCGGATATGTTTGATGTCCATTTCTCCTATTTCATTGATTCGAGTGAAGCGGTCTGTTTCAATTTCAGCGATGATTCATGATTCTGTTCCTCCGTCTGTGGCAGTGATCGAGGATCAAGCATAATTCACAATTAATCGCCTGTTGTTGGTGTTTAATCGAATCAAAAACACTGGGCGACAGGAGGGGAGAAGAGTGTGTTTTCGCGCCAAAGAAAAAAGCCGATTTATCTGAAGCCGTTTTGTTTGTTGTCTCCTTAATTGAAATTAATTATTCCCTAGGCTAGCGGAACAAACACCGCTAGAACGGAACGGGGAAAAAACAATTCGCATCATCCAGAACTTGTACAATTAGAAGACTTTTGTATTCGTTTACTAAACTAACAATAGTTTCTTTGTTTTTGTTTTACTTTAACTGTTATGTGGCGAGAAAGAAATATGTATATTAATTGATTAATTGATGAAATGTTTATAATTACGCAAATTTATCTTTGAAAATGTGTGTAGGAAAGGCTTGTAAAATAGTTTCTTAATTTGAGAAAATGAGAAGCTCGTTTGCAATCCTTTTTATATGTTTTGCTTTCGTTGTACGCATAATTCTGAGCAATTTCGCGAGCAATTAAGAAAATCCATTAATAAGTTTCAACTGGTTAAGCGAGCAGAATGTCATCAAGTTAATATGATTAATGAGCCGGAGAAAATAATTCAGCCACTCCCGACAGACACACACTCTTCGCCCGTTCAGCCGCCGCCCCCCCCCCATTCCGACGTCTGGTAAATAGAGGCGATATGTTGGAAGTTTTAGATGCCCGTGCCGTTCGGCAACGTACGTAACGTGTCCTTCTTCATCTCATCAATAGTTGAAACGGAGACTTTGCGCTCGGTGAGATCCAGCGGGAATTTGAAGGTGATTTCGTTCTTGCTGCCGACGAAAATAGCCGCCGCAGTGTCTAATCTTATGTCCTCTTTGTCTTTGATGACTTGATTCCTGTTGTGCATGGAGTGCCTACGTATACAAGAAATAACGACAAAGAGTATACAAAAGATAAGGAACAATAGTAGTCCGCTGCCGCCGATAATTAAGGCGAGTTTGTTCTTTACGAAAGTGGCGAACTCGGATTGCGAGCTCCTCCCTTCGTCGCAGACTTTCACCTCCTCATAACTTAAACTACTTAAAAGTCTTCCCTTCAGGGAGGCCGGGGTCGCGCACTTAACACCCTTCAGGACGCGGCTCTGGTTCGCCCTGAAGAGCATCGGTGATATATGGCACAAGTCGCAGGACCAAGAGTTATTCTCTAAACGCACCTCCTCCAGTTCCTCCAATCTCATAATGACGTGCTCCTTCAGACCTCGCAGCTTATTCCTGGAAATATCCAAAGCAACAAGTTGCAGTGGCAACATCTGCAAACTCACGTTGCTTAAATAGTTGCCGGACAGGTTAAGCCTCTGTATGTGATCGGGCAGTAGTCCGGCCGGTATTTCGGCGATCTTCATGTCTGCCAAACCGAGATCGTTTACCTTCGACGCGATCTGAAGTGCCGTTCTAATCACAGGCAATCCGAACAGGTTTCCGCTGATCAGGAGCTTCTGCAGTTTATCGGCCACCGGCTGCAGCGACTCTCCCTCGAGCTTATCCAGTTTGTTGTAGCTGATGTCAAGCTCGACGAGATTGGTCAGATTGAGGAAAGCTTCGTTGGTCACTTTTGCCAGTCTGTTGCGAGCCAAGCACAGCGAACGCAGATGGACGTTATTCACGAAAGTCTTCTCCAGCACCACGGGCAGCTGGTTACCGTCCATTCGCAGCACTCGCAATCGATGGAGATCCACGAACTCGTCGGCCTCCACGAACTGCATCCTATTGTTCCCCAAGTCGAGGTGGCTGAGGTAAGGCAGCAGGTGATATATCTGGGTGTTTATCCTGCGGAGACCGCAACCTCTACACTGCAGCACGCGGAGTTCCTGCGAAGCACACAAAACAGAACGACCTTTGTATTAGAAGGCAGCCTACTACTACTACTACATTCGTAAGAAATGGGCGTTATTAATCAGTGCGCGAGGCAACGGCGACAAACACGAGGTTTATTTTAATACGCAACGAATCTACATGAAAATGCCATTTTCTCTATCCGTTTCCATTCCTTAATTAGGACTAGCGCATTTCCATTTTAATACACTCTAATAAACACTCTACTGAAAACACATCAACATTGTCTAATGCTAATTGAAAATTAAACTTCAGGTCGACGTCTTTATTCCTCGCGCATTCCTTCATCCCCAAAATTCCATCAATCATTCAAAACATCTCCTTTCTCTTCTGTCTACGCATTTAAATACATGCCATCTCGAACGTCGCAATTAATACAAGTGCTTAAGGCAACATTAATTTATTAATATAGTTTTATAACTCAATAATAATTTAGTAAACTCTCCTACAAGTGGCTCAAAATCAATCTAATTGGAATTCGTCAATGTGAAAATGTATCTAAACATACAAATAACCGCATTAAAGTTTGCGTAGCATTTCAAGAGCCTCAGTTATGCAAGTGATGTAATTTAATTATCAATTTAAATTAAATACGTGGAAAGTTATATTAACTATCTTGACCTGGACCGGCGAAACGGGAACTAACCTAAACTAATTTCGCGTAACTTCGTTTACACAATCTACAAGCACGCTACGATATAGCTAACAATTATTTTACGTTGCTTACGTATTTGTTAATATATATTTTTTCTTTTTCTTATATAATGTAAATCATAGAGTGTGCCCTGATGGCACTGACACTAAGCAGTAAGGAAATATAACAAAGGGCGGAGCAGAAGAAAAATGAGAACATTATGAAAATAGCATGCTGGAGGCGGAAAAAAAAAGACACGTCGGGTCGGCGAAAATAGGAAATAAACACACATAAAGAGGACAACTTGATGGAACGAAAGAATAAAAACTAACGTCAAGGGAAATACGACAATGAGAAGCTAAAAAAAATAATAATAAGAAACGTTTGATATAAAATAATGTGAAGATTATTATGTTTTTAATTTCACTGAAAATGTAAATTAATAATGAATTAATAATATTTTACAAATAAACATGTCAAGGTTTGAATATTAACAATAAACTTAAATTAAATAATTATTTAAATGATATTGCGTATTATTATGTTACTTTGCGGCAATTTAATTTTATTACGAACTCTGTTTGAATTAAAGCTGGAGAAACTTTAAATTATCTCAACTTGACCTAGCGAAACTTAAACCAATTTAAACTAATTCCATCCAACCTAATCCGCACTGACTTCATTCAAATATAAAAGTCCCATGCGAATTCAAACTCATAAGTGGGCTTGACTGGGTTGGGTTCTATGCATTTTTATTTAAAATGGATGATTACGGAATGTACTTCTATATAAAAGTAAATGTAACTTGATAATTGGATGTCGTCTTATATGCATGCATATTTTTTTTGCCCAGAAAGAGAGAGAGAATTTACTTTATGTAACTGTAAAATTATTTCAGGATAGAAAATATTTCTGTCCTTTTTTATTTATAATAAAAAAATACTTCCTAATATGTTTTGTAATGTTGATACAACATATTCGTTTAGAATAAACATTTAAAAAAATAATATTCGAGAAACGTTTCTAATAAGATAATTAAGATTATATACTTTATATAATTATGGATTAAGTAAATTATTTATGTAATTTTTTGTGTGTGAAATGAAAATCATACAATTATAATGCGAAGGGGTGCAAACATTAGTGCAGTAATTTAAAACGGCGGTTGAATGTGTCGTTTCCTGAAGGAGTAAATTCGTTTCAACAAATGTGCTGTTAATGCAAGGCCCAATTAGCGAAAGCCTCGTTCGTTAAAAGCATCCCGTATTAATATATAATCATTTCCGAGGGTATTTAGTAAAGTGTGGGGCACAAAAATGGTCAAAATCTGGGTGAATTAAATTCCTGTATAAAATTTAAACAACTCAGTAAATTGCAAAATTTGATTTTGATTTTATTAAAGAAAAATACTAAACAAGTTAATAACAACGTTTCTTGTTCACGACGAATTATTAGAGATATAAAGTAAACAATTTCTGAATCACTGATCTTTAATATTTGTAGTAATTATAGAATTTAAATGTTCCACGCCACACATCAACAACCATATTCCTTTTGAAGTTGAACTATACATTTTGACTGAAACACACAATGGAATCTATTTTTCCTAAAATTCCCGTTGGATGTAAACAAATAAATTCGTTACACGATCCCCAATCCCATTACTTGCTGATATTTCATTTCTGCAGTTGCAAAAGGGAACAACAACAACAAAAAAAACGTAATGTTGCGGCATCCAGCGAATCGGCAGATTTCGGGGGCTTCACAATAATTTTTGGCCGCGAATATAAAGCACATCTATAGCCGCCTGACCCGGCCCCAACAACACGTCGCAAAAAGAGATTATCCCGCTGTATTTCGACGCTCCCATTTCATTTTCAACGTCGAAGTAACGTCGTTTTTCTGGGTTGTATCGAGGGACGAGGATGGAAAGGGATATAGATGTGTGTGAGAGAGAGGGAGATAAAGATAGAGGGCGAAGTAGAAGGAGGCGGATTATTAATTATGGATGGCTTCGATTAGATTGAAAAGTTTCTTTTGAAAAGGGGGAACCGGGATGTTTATTTTACATCCAGGCCGGAACGGCGGAAAGTAAATAGGACGCGGTTTCCACTTCCGAATTTCACTTGGGTGGAAACGGGCTTGTTTAATTTTAACGAGATTAGAATTGAAACAACACAGGAAGAGGAGTATTATGATACTGCGAAAATATTGAACGAGGGGCGGCGTGGGTGACATTTCCCTTTTGTTATGGGTGGAGCGGGTGGAACGACAAAAAGAAGTGTAAAAAAATAAATAAAAGGGAATGAGAATGGGAGAGATCCCGTGTGATCCCGAGTGTTTGTTGTCGCTACAAATCCTGGCGGCTAAGCTTTTGAAGTCCCGTAATTGGAAGGGGGGATATTGATTTGGCGCGCGCCTAGAAAAGTATAAGACTTACTGGTATGTCCTTGAAGACTTCTGGGTTAAGTTCGAGTACCGGGTTGAAACTTAATTTGAGCACTTCCAGTTTACTGAGTTTAACGAAGAGTCTCGGTACCAAATCGGCGATCTGGTTGCGCTCGAGGTTCAGAACTCTGAGCTCGGAGAGGTGTTTGAACGAACCCATAGGTAGTTTATGTATTCGGTTATCGTTCAGATATAACTCGATTAAGTTCACTAAGCCCCGAAAGTTGTGATCGAACACCGCGGTAATGTTGTTAAACGAGAGGTTGAGCACTTGCAGGGAGGGTACGCCCCAGAAGGCGTGCATCCCTATCTGCAGTATATTAGATCTTGTGATGTGGAGCTCTTGGAGAGACTTGAAATTCTGAAACAACGGCCCCAATGTCAACTTGTTCCAGTTGTCGGCCGGCGCTGATATATCTAACACTTCCATGTCGGGCGACATGTCCTGTATTGGTATTGGATCTAACATTCCTCCCTTAGGACACGAGACCCTCCTACGTCCTTTGTCACTCTGTCTGCACGTACATCCGGTCGGACACATCGCGCTAACAGGATGTATCCATATTAGTATTAACCACCAGCACACCCCATACCAGCGAAAGAGCATTCTGCAACAGAGACCAAATAAAACAACAACTATTAAAACTTTCCAGAGAAAACCCAAAGACGGAATGAGTCAGAAGACATATAAACACATTGGGTTCAACAACAATTTTTACAAAGGCCTCGCTCGCTCCGTCCAGTCGCACGGAAACTTGCCGAGATTTATTTAACGGGCCAATGCCAATTTTATTACTTTTCTCCAACTACTTTTCCTGGCCGCTTGCTTCTCGAACATTTACTTCCCAAAACCCCATCGACAATGAATTATAAATATACGGTTCTGGTCTTTTGGTTCTGCATTTCTGGACGGGACTGAACATACTTGAACAGGAACATTGCATATACACAAGACATACTTTATTCATACACTACACAACTACCTTTTTTCCCCTAACAAAATGTAGCTTATATGTTTTACATCTATTATTTACTATTACATCTGCTATTGCTTCCTCCTATCACTTCGGGTATTACTTAAATATTTATTTATACATATACACAGATTTTCACGAATAAATTCATTTAAGAAAAGATTATATAAGGAGATCTTTATTTTAATTAAGAGAAAATATTTATGTTTGTGACATTTATTTCAATTTCTATGAGAATCCCGTCAAACTAAAAAAAAATCTGGTTTAAGATTTTCTCCATCCAAAAATCTAGTTGAGTCTAATCTATTTTTTTGTTAAATTAAATTAACTCATAATATAATTGTTATTGTTGCTTCTGAAAGTGAGTTAGGATACAATAAAATTTTCAAATTCCGAAGCAGAGTTTACAAAGTGCAACGATTTGTTGTCAGCGTCTTTTGGTAAAACCGTTTCGCAATTGAAGAGCAAAACGCCGCAGTAAACTCGAAAAATTCAATCTCGCAATCCTCGTACCAGACATTATTTGCAGCGGAATCGCATAATCCGACCATTAATAATTCTCAAATAAATTCATATCTATAATCGTAAATTATTATCAGTTCGAATTATCCTCTACTAAATTGAATAATTCGATTTTTTAATTTTACATAAATTATACTCTCTCTGTCCGAAAATATGGTATACATTTGAAAGATAATCTTAGATTATCTAGAGTATTCGAAAGCATACTCATTATATTGCTATTGTTTACATTGATAACTAAATAACATAACATGTTTGACAGTCGTTGCTTTTGAGTTAAGTTGTGGATATTTTCTTAAGAAAGATGAATAACTATGCTGAATACAGTTGAATATTGTTGCATAAAATACAATTAGAAACAATTACGTAACTGAAGCAGCACTTTCTTATTGTGTGCGGTAGATGTGTTTAATTAATGTACAACTCGGTGTCCAATTAAAAATGATAAATGAAGCTATAAATAAATATGCGCTTGTTTGCGTATTCAAATCCATTTATGGCGTTAATTTGTCATAGGGGACTTATGTAACCGCCTGGCAAGGCACTTGACCTGATTAATGCTGCAGATTAGTTGCAACCAGATTCTACTTCCAGTAAATTACAATTGGTGTGCAACTATTTGCACGAGCCAAGAGGTCGGAGCTCCTCGATCTACGCACACGTATCTGCACACACATGTGTGTGTTGTGTGTGTGTGTGTATTGATTAACCGATGCACTTAATATTTCAATTAACTTTAATTCGAATCGATTCATCTTTTGGCGAGAATCGCACGGTTTACGTTTCATCCTGCAAATTGGGCTGACGGCTTGCACTATCGGTGTGCAACACGGGAGTTTCCTGCTGCATCCTGCCATCCCACGTCCAGGCCGTGCAGCAGGATCTCGCAGAATCGATTTCCCTCTACTATGGAGCTCTTAAATTGGATCACAGAATAAAAATGTAGATTGCCTTTCATTACAAGAAAGAAAAGAAAAAAAGAAAGAAGGAAGGAAGGAAAGGAGACGGATAGGGAGATTGTAGCTGCAGTAGAAAAAAAACGACAACAAAATCCAGCGACTGTTCTTACTCTTACATAACTTTAAATTACTTTCAATATGTGTTGAATAGAAAATGTAATCCATTATGCATTTCATATTTATTCTGCAACCTTCTCCACTCACCTCACCAATCTTGCGTAACAATTCAAACAAAATATTCTCAACCTTAATACACCCAATTTCGATTTTTATTAATCTCCGAAATGATAAATATTACTTAAGTTTGTAGAAACAGCAAATATTACTGAGAAAAACTGTCTTAAAGAAATAAAATATTAAAAGACACATGTATTATAAGAAAATAGTGGAGAAGATTTTGACAAAATAATTAATTTAGTGCACTTTTAAGAAATCTATTCACAAGAATTATTTTGAAGAAATTCAATAGTTTAATCAAAAATTAGCGTTTTTAACAGTTTGGGATATTCGCGTTTACCCGCATTATGCGAGGTATTACCGTATTTGAACATTTCTTTTAATATTATAAGTTATAAGACCGGATATTATTTCATATTTGAAAAATAACAAGAATATATTACTAAGCATTCCTTAATTTATATGTAAATGTTTATTTATTAAAGTCATAAACTACACTCAGGAAAAATGTGCAAGACTTTCGTTCTGATTACAACAAATGATCCACGAAGCGCAACTTTTGCATGTTTTTTTTTCCGTTGTATCATTTTCCTGCGAAGAATGGATCTTGCGATTCAGTTAACTATTGAAAAAGGGATTGTTTATGATGGTAGGGGGAGAGCTGCATTGAAAATTTATTTATTCTTTAAAAGATTGTATTAAGTTTTACGCGAGGTTATTGTTATACAAATTCCGGCCCGCGGGTGGTATAAATTTTAATGCCTGTATAAAAGTTGATTAAAATCGATCCGTTTACCGTTTTCGGCGCTTCAAGTTGAATGGATTCCATACATTTTTATAAGGCTCGTAAAATGGCTAGAGGATGCATTCGTCGATGGTGATAAAGGATGCGCGAATCGTTAGAAGGATGAAAATGATTCGTGTGTCTGAAAGCATAATCCTCGTCGGCCCGCACTTAATTAACTTAAGATTTTATGATGAGGCCTTCCTTCGAGAGGTCTGCCTTTATTGCTCAATCATTTTTCGGAAAACACTTGCAAAGTCACAATTTATCCTCTCAGACAATTAAATCGGGGCGGCCGTATTAATGGCGCCTGTTAATTGGCAAAGATAATTATTTCCCTTTTGAGATCTAATATTAAAGAAGTCCATAAATTCAACCTGCGGGGGTTTGAGCAATTTACGTCCGCGCCCGGTGTTCGTGGGCCTGCGTTTAAAATATCTGTAATTTATGCGCCGAAGATAAACACGTTTTGTCTCCATTCCACCCTGATAAATTGAATTTAAGCATTCGCAACTTTTGTGCTCAGCCTTTTCCAAGCTACATCCACAAACAAACCTGCAACCCTTACCAGCTGAGCTGCTGCTGCTGCTGTTGCTGCATGCAGCACGCCACTTTTCAACTGATTCAAAGGCCGCTTAATTAAAATCTAAATTAATTATAGTCGCCGCTTTAATTTCGCACCAAAACAAAACTAAAAACGAAATAAATATAAAATACCCGTTCAAATAATATCCCCGGCGTCCATAAATACACCGCGTTACGTAATTATTAAAATTTTCGCTCGGCCGCAGCTTTCAACCGCTTCCACTATTTCCACTGTTTTATGTCTTCATAATAACCGCGAACAGCAACAAAAGAGGGATTTAAAGCTGCAGAAATTAAAATCATCACGATTTAAATGTTTGTGACGGATCATAAACTAACATTTTTTTCATTATTTATTTACATTTTTTTTTATGTAAAAATTCATTTCATTTTTCTCCATTTGATTCAAATTATTGTTATTTATTGTAAAGATTTACCGGTAATTTTGGTATTAATATAAGCCAGTAAAACCAGTTAACCGTAGATGCTAAATATAATAAAAACGAGAGATTGAGTATTATACAGAAATTTGTCTAATTATGTGTCTAATTAAGTTACACAAGAAGCAAATAGTATTTATTATAGAAGAATACAAGAAACTCACAAAGGTGAAGAATACTAACTAATTTCTGTCGAGGCAAATGATGCATTAGTAAATAATGATACGAATTTGGAAAACTTCTAAACTTGGTAAATACTTATTAATTAGCAATACAAAAAATCATAGCCAACGAAAATATTTGTTGATATTTAAGTAAATCAGTATTTTCTGCATTAATTTAGTGAACTAGCTTCAATTCTAATATGATATAATAAATGTAACACAATTAGACTAAATTTAATTTGTTTTTCATTCAATACATTTTGTTTACAATTATTTATGTAATTTTATGGCTGTTGACTAAATCACAACATATATTAAAGTAATTATGTATACTAAATTGCAAACACTTAAACAATGGCGTTAAGCTAAACTGCAATCTACATCTTCATTCGAATGTTAATCTTAGATTAGTTCGAACGTTGATTCTAAAGTCCCACGGAGATTGGGGACTTGCTTACAGACGTGAACAAGGCGTTTAATTAGCTTCGACACAAAGGTTCGTTTCGTAAATAAACAACCTAAATATTTCATCCCATGCAAATTGCATCAGTTGTAATATCCGGTGATGCCGAGAAACTTACGAAACACATTTAATAGTAGAGTATTAACGTCAGTATTAAATTGTGAATACATTGAGTGTTCCATTCTGGTATTCTCTTACTCTCTGGTTCTATGCTAATATAGTGAACGAATCATTATTTATATTCCTCAGTTATTAGCGTTGATTCTTCAAGTAGTATACGCAGAAAACAGTATTTAACTTTACAGTAATACCTCGCAGACTATTTGAAATTTTGTGTACTAATGTTTTACAATTCAAATTTAGTTTTTTTTTTATTTTCTAATTTTATAATGAATCCGGACTGATTGAAACCATATCAAATTGACATTTAAAAATCAGCAAATTCATTTCTATTCGTGATAAAATAATACAACAGCAGTTCCGCTTTAAACTCAACGAGCTTAACCTCTTTAAAACTTTCTTCAAGAATTGTTATA